CAAAAAAAAAAAAAAAAAAAAAAATAAAATAATAAGAGGGATGGTGAATGAAATGCCATGAGGCCAGCGGGGCATGATGAATAGATAATGATGAAGAAAAATAATAAAGCGTGGGCAGTGGCATGAAAAAAGAAAAAAAATATATATATATATATATATAATAATAATAATAATAATAATAATAATAATAATAATAAGAAAAAGAATTGGTCAAATTGGGAGTGTGTGAAGAATTATTATTCTAGAGGATGGTGGAAATATATGGGGGGAAATATATTATAATAAAAATATATATATATTTTTTTTTTTTGTTTTGGTTTGGTGTGCATACAAAGCGTGCACTGTAAAGCATTACGGGAAAGGGAAGCTTGCAGAGAAAAGGGTCATGTGTGTGTTGTCGGTGGAAGAATAAGAATAATAAGAATAATAAGATATTAAGGACACTTTGCCATCCATAGATAAAGGTCTTTATGTTTTCTGCACTCAAAAAACAGGCAAGAAGGACAGCCTTTGAGTTCAACAAGCTCATTCAGAGTTGCCCCTTTACTTGCGTTAGATTCAACCTTGTTATCCTTCTTACAGTGGGGCAAAAGTGACACGACGTTCAACATCAAATGTCGATACCTGTAATTAATGCGGCGAGAACAAGTGACCAAAACTTTCTCTTTATTTTTAAAAACTGTAATAATAATAAGAAAAAGAATTGGTCAAATTGGGAGTGTGTGAAGAATTATTATTCTAGAGGATGGTGGAAATATATGGGGGGAAATATATTATAATAAAAATATATTTTTTTTTTGTTTTGGTTTGGTGTGCATACAAAGCGTGCACTGTAAAGCATTACGGGAAAGGGAAGCTTGCAGAGAAAAGGGTCATGTGTGTGTTGTCGGTGGAAGAATAAGAATAATAAGATATTGAGGACAAAAGCATGTGCCCTGGGAGGGAAAGTGAGAGAGAGAGAAATGCGTTGAGTGCAGTAGTGTTTTCCGAGAGGGAGAGAGAGCAGGTTGAGAGAGCTAAACCTCCCACCACAAATGATCAATTTGGGTCTAAAATCCATTGCTTTCTCTGCCAATCTATCATAATCAATATACCCAGTACTTGAATCCACCTTGTAAGGCAAACTCTCGAAGTAAATCGAGGTGGTAGAGATCTTCTTCCCACCAGAGGTGTAATACCCATGAGTCAAATGACCACCAGAAGGCAAATCCAGGCCCATGATCCGATCATGGGGGTTGAGAACAGCCGTGTAGGCTGTGAAATTGGCGAGACTACCTGAGTATGGTTGAACATTGACAGAGAAAGAGAGAAGCAGCCGAGGCGAGTGAGGTTGCAGGTGGAGGTGGCTCAGTCGCGGAGTTGTGGCTGGAAATAATGGCCAGGCTGGAGGCGACAGACACGAGGTGCGTAGGTCGCGCAAGCTGGTTGGTTGAGCACACAGGGCAGATCTCATATACGGTGTTGCCATGTAACCGTGATGGAAGAGGAGGTTCGGTTATGGAATTTGTGGCAGCGGAGTCAAGGTATGTGTTTGTGATATGTGTTGAAAAACTCCCGCGGGCAGCGAAGGCAAGGTTGCCGGCCGGCTGCCCGCCGGAAAGAAAGGAGTATAGGCCTAAATCTTATTGCTCTGATACCATGTAAAAATATATTGATAGAGAAAAATTGTATGTATTATTGATTGATGTGTATATTTTTTACAAATGGTGAGGGGCTCCTTATATAGGAGATGTAGTGGAGTAGGTGGTAGTAGGTGGTAGTGGTAGGTGTGTAGTAGGTGGAGTAGGTGAAGTGGGTGGAGTAGGTGTAGTGGTAGGTTTTGGTACATTTTAACACAAGAAAATATTTCCCTTTATAATTGATCTCTTAATATTTTTGTTGTGACAGGTATATCTTTTTTGCTACACTCCTAAGCATCCCAGAATCAAGCTTTTCAGTGGCATTCAAAATGTTTGACATCGATTGCAATGGGTATCCTATGAAATCTTTGAATGTTCAAGAGTTTGATCATTATTCTTAACTTGATTTACTGATGGATGTCTCATTTTCCTTACATGCACCCAGTTAAATATAAAGCAGCACCTTTGTGGACCTCTCACCAAAAGCATTACTGTACAAATTTGGCAGAAATCTCCAATGGACCCATTCTATCACTTATTAAGCATAGTGAATGCTAAGTTTTTTTAGTTAATTTGTTACTTAGCTCTTGGTATGAACAGTTAAATTAAATAAATTTATATGAGTGGTCCAATGTCAATTAAGCTTGTTGCGTCTACTGCATGCTGTGTACCTTGAATGTGTGATTATATTGATTTCCTAGTTCATTGAAACACTAAAAACAAATACTATGAATTATCACATGCTCATGCAAATTAATGTCTAAAAAAGGCTTGCTAACTAAAAATAACTTCTCTCTCTCTCTCTCTCTCCTGCATGCCAATAATTTGACTTTTTTGTCACTAACAGAGAGATAGACAGAGAGGAATTCAAGAGAGTTATGGCCTTGATGCGAGCTCATAATAGACAAGGGGCTATTCATAGGGATGGACTTCGAGCTGGGCTAAGAGTTGGTTGTTCTGTAGAAAATGGAGGCCTGGTGGTGTACTTCTTTGGCAAAGATGGCAAGAAATGTCTCCAACATGAAAAATTTGTCCAGTTTTTGAGATCTCTGCATGTTGAGGTATGTTCCCCCACACCCATGCTTCCATGTACACACCTCCTAATGAAAAGATGGATTTTTATATGTTAAATAATTTATGTGTCTAATCTCTTTTTGTCTCATCATAAATTTGTTTTGTTTCTTTGTAGAATCTCACAAGATTTTGTTATGGTGGATCTTGCCTGTGGCAAATATGTACCAATTTTATTTAGGACTGTCTTATAAGGACTAGAACGCCTTTTTCCTTTTTGTTCCTTTTTAACATTCAACCACTCATATCCATCATCGCATATAATAATCGGGTGAATTCATTGTCTTTGTTTCTGTAACCATTGTTTAGGACCAATGCCTCTGATTTTAAAATTAAAAAAAATTAATTCAAAAAATGAAGAAGAATAGAGGGCGGAAAACTTTATTCAAGTAGGGCAAAAACCTCCTCTAGGTTCAATTGGAGGTTAGATTCCTAAAGAGAAAAAGCCCAATTCAAGTACTGATTTCCTCTACCAGACCACATAGCTTCTAACATCATCTTTGGAGTATTCCTTCCCTTACCCTTTAATTGTGAGGTTTGATCGTTTGATTTTTTGGTTAGTCATGTGGTTTTGTTCTTTATGCTGCCTTTTGGCAACTTGTTTTCACATTTAATTTACCTATTTGAATGCTATAGATGGTCAGGTTGGAGTTTGCTCATTATGACTACAAATTACATGGAACCATATCAGCCAAGGATTTTGCTTTATCCATGGTTGCATCTGCCGATATGAGGCATTTGAACAAGTTGCTAGATCGAGTTGAAGAATTAAACAAGGAGTCAAATCTTAGTAATGTTCGCATTACAGAAGAAGAATTCAAGGATTTTGCAGAGCTACGGAAACGATTGCTGCCATTTTCTTTGGCCATTTTCAGTTATGGAAAAGTGAATGGTTTGTTGACAATGAAGGATTTTCAACGTGCTGCTTCCCAAGTATGACACTCATTTGTCCTTTTTATGAAGTTGTCTTTGCTTGTCAAGCTAAAACTTTTGGATGTCAGTTTTATCACTTAATTTTTCATTTTTCATGGAGTGATGATCTATTCAATGCCAGGTATGCGGTGTCTCTCTCACCGACAATGTTGTTGGGATCATTTTCCATGTTTTTGATGCAAACTGTGATGGAAGTTTAAGTGCAGACGAGTTCATAAGAGTTCTACAAAAGCGGGAAAGGGACATTGCTCAACCATCAGAGGCAGGCTTCATGAGCTCTCTATCTTGCTGTTGGAATTGTGCAAATAACTGCTCTATTGCATGGTTTCTTTCCTAAATGCTGTGGAGAATGAGATCCTATTGTTCTGTTGTAAATTAGGGTAATTTACTTCTTTCTCATAGGGTGGATGCGGTTAAAGAATGTGCTGACAGACAAATTGAATAGTTTGAGGCAAAAGCAAGCAAGTCTTTACTTTGTTTCTCCACTAGAGAATCGCTAATCAGCCTATATAGACCATCTGGCTTCTTCTTCTTCTTTTTTTTTTTTTTTTTTTTTTTTTTTTTTTTTTTTTTTTTTTTTTACTGCAAATATTAGTGCAGATCTTCTGCAACAACTTCCATTTAACTTCAGAATTGTACATGTTAATGTACATTGTATAATTTACCATCACCTACCACACACTTACCATCACCTACCACACACTCACCTACTACACTCACCTACCACCACCATCCACTACACCTACATCTATATAAGGAACCATTTGTAATAGACAGAAAATCATCAAAACATCAATCATAAATACATCAACAAATCAATACTATCAATTTCTCTCTCTATCATTTTATCTTACATGGTATCAGAGCTATAGGTTAAAGATCTTGGTGTTCTTCGCCTTCCGGCGGGCGGCAACCTTGCTTTGACCGCCCGCCGGATCTCAACCTAGTCCGCTAAAATTTTCTACACATACCTTGAAATTTCCTTTCTTCAACCTGCTGAGTGCACTACTGTTCAGTCGCCGGAGACCACCGCCGCTTGCACGTCGATGTCCCTTTGCCGAAGCTCCGTCGCGACACCGGCCTTCCTTGCGTCTGGTTTCAATCCCCTGCTATTCCAAGCCACAAAATTCAAGGTTTGGGCAGGCCAAACTACCACGCTTCACAAGTTCTACCCACACAGATGGATCGACTCCTGATTTCGATTCTTCTCCACTAGTGTTTACTTGGACAAAGACTGTCAAAGGATTTCTTCTTAACGCCACCCACATCATCATAGCCAACCTCATCCAACCTATCTTCGTTCTCCCTTCGCACAGGCTCCCTCTCACAAAAGATCTCTGTGTCTGGAGCAACCACACAGTACTCTCCTGATACAATATCTCCCAGCCGAACCCTCAACTTTTTTTTCCAGCCGGACCTCACGACGGCCTGCTGGACGCGGTGGAGGACTGACCGGAGAGCCGTCGCCGCGACACCGTCCATTGCGGAAGCCACCATCGGAGACTGCTGCTGTTACTGGACCCTAGCCGTTGACTGCCCTCTTCACGTCGCTCCTCCAGCGCATGTCTCGGTGCTTTATGACTTTAGGCGGGACTGGCTCAGCCATGGAGAACAGAGGGAGTGCTAGGTTGACATGGTTGGTCAACAAAGTCACCACCACACACACACCCAATTCACTTTTCTTTGTTTAATCACACCCATCCACCGCCCACTTTATTTTTTATTCAAAACTTTCATTGATGCTCTCAGACATCATTCTCTCACATTTAGTAGGGCACACACACCCAATTCACTTTTCTTTGTTTAATCACACCCATCCACCGCCCACTTTATTTTTTAATCAAACTTTATTTTTTTTTTCATTCTAAACCTTCTTTGAGCCGTGATTGTTTTTTTTATTTTTTTTTATTTTTCTCTTCTTTTTTTAAAACAAACATAATCATCTCCTTTTACCCCCACTTTATCTTTATTTATTTTATTTTATCATCTCTTTTTCTTTATCTGCAGCTGCTCCCACACGGCACATGCTTTCACTATTACTATATATATTATTATTCTTCTTATTATTCTTACACAATCAAACCCTTAATATATTCTTATTCTATAGTTTTCAAGCCCACGGTTTTCCATTATTATTATTATTCTTATTATTATTATTATTATTTTTTTTTTTTTGCAAAACAAAAAAAAAAAAAAAAAAAAAAAGACAAAAAAAAA